TGATTTTAATTTTTTCAAATAATTTAACACATTTATATATTCTCGATATAATGCTAATTATGAAATTGAACCTAGTCAGAGGTGAAGTATGTCAAACTTTAAAATGAGCGGTTTTGTTCATTAAATATTTTAAATTTTGTTCAGCCATTAAATGATAATTCAAAGAAAGAAAAAATGATAATTTCTTATCAATTATCATTTAATGATCAAATAATATTAGATTAATATTTTTATCACGCAAGAAAACAGTGTGAATTAGACTTAATAGTGACACTAAAACTGACTCTTTTGAGTATTTTTTTTTTCTGTTTGTTTTTTAAACGTTTCAATGCTTTTAAAATCTCCATTTGTCATGGAAATCATTGAATGAAAAGATTGAGCTGACATTTTTGAAAATGTTTCTATTATTTTATTTGGTTTTGAATTATTATACCACTGTTTTTTTTTTTAGTTCTCTAACAGTTTAATGAGTGATTCCAAATAAAAATTAAATTTTTGGTATATACATATACCTAAAATTCTGCTTTCGCCATAAATTGTGAAAGAATGAAACAGCCACTTTTCAGTTATTGCTGCTTTTTTGGCGAACTTGAGAGGATGTGCAATACGGAATAGTTATGCCTTTGTAAGAGAAAAATTTAAATTAACTTGATTGGACAGTAAATGATATGAAGACTAGCATATAGAATGAAGCAATTCATGCTGAAATACCAGAAGAAATCCCAATTATTTACAAATTAAAGATGAACTGAAGGTAATCATGAACTGGAGGAAATCAATCCAACTAATCATTGAACTGATTTTCTCCAGTTGATAAAGTCTTGTCATAACCATTGGTTTACAGTAACTTTCAAAGTAAAACTCAAAAAATGCTCCACAAGCAGTAAAATAAATAAGGCTGAACCATTAAGCTGCCACAAACGTGCTCATTACCAAAAAATAAGATTTAAAAAAAACTCCAAATCATTCATTAATTAATCATTATTAAACTTGTACACTCTTCTATCAAAATCTTTCATGTTTGTTTCAAAATGACTACATTTATCCTACATTTTATTGTACATTTCGAATAATTTTATCATTGCTAGTTATCTTCCCAAAGCTATCACAATAATATATAGAACAAACATAGTTTACTATTTCTCCTATTGAACCATTTTTAAATATTTCGAATAATTTCACCTATTTTAGATTTGATGGAAGACATATAAAATGTCAAATAAGAAACTAAGTGACAGAACATTTTGTCATTTGGAAAAGAAAAAAGAAATCACACAGAGCTAATCGTAGTTACATCAGCTATAACACTCTTTAGAGTTTTTTTTTTTAGCCCTAAAAGTGTAATCTAAAAGTTATGAATAATTTATTCAATAAACTGTTGAATGGTGCACAAATTTGATCGTTCAGTAAAAATGAATCCATCATTTTTTTTCCTAAATTGTTGAAGAATGCCAAAGAAAATTAAGTTTTTGCTGTGTCCCTCAATATGTGTAAATAATAATAGTAATAATAATAATGCAAATAATAATAAACAATAAAATTAAATTGATGATTTTTGCTGATTTAAAGGGTTGATTATTTAATAAAAAAAGAAAAATTTGTTCGTCCAGGAAAAAAAATTTGCTTTTATCGGAGCTTTTTTATTTGTGTAGTTTTCTTCACATCCATTTTAATATTCCAGTGAAAACTTTGTTTTTTATTACTAAATTAGAAAAAGTTTTGTATTTTTATTTTTTTTTTTTAGAATGTTAAGGTCATATATTATTTCGAACCAAAATTAGAAAATTATTTGAAACAAATGTATAATTTTTTTATGCTAACAATATAATTAAAATTCATGGTGACAAAAGCGTTCTGTTTTAAAAACTTAGCAATTGATAGAAATTTTTAAAACTAGTTCATAAACCAAATTAATAGTAGACCACACTAAATAAATAAGTACTTCCCAAATCAAGACCAGTTATTTTAAAAAAATTTTCCTAAAATACCTACCACTTTGCTTAACCTATTAAAATTTGAATTTCTAGTTAGTACTTGTCTATAAATGACAACGTATATATTTAATATGAATTCATTAAATTCACTGATTAAAATTCATAGTGATCAACTAAATTCAGTTTTGACATTGATAACTACGTCTCTCGAAGTTATTCCAATATTTAATGCCCTACGATAAAGTTGTAAAATTTTTTTGCGACGAACTTGGATGCTTCATAAATTCATTAATTTATCAGAATTTCCAATAGACCTAAATACAATTTCAATTACACAAAACAATAAGCAAATACAGTTATCACTTAAATGAATATTTATTTAATCCCAAAAATGCAAAACAAATGTGACATCGCTGTTATTAAAATTAAATATGCTTATGAAATTTTGTTGAAATATGAAAATTTGCATCGGAAAGACCGTAATAACTATTCAAAATAGCGTATTGACCGTTTCCACTAAATTAAATTTTTTTTTTTTTTTGTCTTAGCAGGTTAGGTAATTATTTGAATAAGAAAATATTGAATTGTAAAATATAGTGTGATGCAAATTAAGGAATATATTCTGGGCATTTGTCAGCTGAACAATTTCTTGTAAGTTCTGACGTATCCACGTAAATTAAGCGATCTTCAAGTGGTAGTATACGTATCTGATAACATCCTCCTTCTTTTCGTAGTTCTGGATTCTTATGTAAACAATCGGTCCAATTTGAGAAAGAACTAAGTTTTAGTGGACATCTGCAAATCTGATTTGAAAATCTAAAAGCTTTTGGAGTCATTCAACAAACCAAGTCAATAGCTACCACAATAAACATAAATATTTCAACTCAATTCTTTCAAAACTTTATTTTTAAGCATTTCAATCATAATTTACTTTTTTTTTGCGTAACTTTTTTGATCAATTTTTCTGATGTTTCAAGTTAGTCGTAAAGATATGAAAGATTCCACCTAAAGGTTAATTACTGAACAAAGTAAAGTTCAAAATGTTAAGAACGCAATATCACGTAATGGTAAATAATTGTTTATTCATTTCCTTAACATATATGTTAAATATTATTTAGTTCAAAAATGAGGAGTGCATTATTAGTATTAACTAACGAATCAATAAACTTGCCGTTGTAAATTACACGGTGCTTTTTGTATAAATTTTTCTTTAATATTCGATGGACATTTCGCAAAATTTTTCCCTCTTGCCATCACTAATTTGTTTTCATCTATTTCACGTTGCATAACTGGCATCGGTTCACCGTCATCCCAACAGGTTGCCGAGCACTGAGACCACGGTTTAAAACGATAAAAGCATGGCATGTCACGTTCAAGTAGTTGACTATGCTATAATATCATGGTATAATTATGTGACAATTTGTATCCAGTCTTTTCGGTATCTTTATTGGAAGCAGTATCAAACTATTTGTTCAATATAAATTAAAAATTTTAATCTTGAGCGCAGACCTTAATTTTGAGCGCTAACAACCAAAAGCAGCTTGTAACGATAAGCAATATGACAAATAAATTAATTATTGTTAGGATACAATTAATAACCGAAAGTACTCGTACTTGCCTATTGCGCACCAGTGGAGCAATTCGCTGAAAATTTCCGTATAATGAAATTAATTCACAACAATTTCGAACAAATTAATTTTTAGGTGAACAGCATTTAGAGCTCTTGAATTACCGTTAAAATTTCATCAGTTGGCATACAGGAAATAGTCTCAGAATCCAAAATAAGTCAATTAACATTTTAAATGTAACTTACATGATACCAGAATGAAAATGATGAAGAACCCTTTGTACTTGTTAAAGAGCCTTCATACCCTTCCGAAAGGTCAGAAAGCTGGAATAAACAAACTTTATTATTTCTTAACTAGTGAGTAGTTGCAAAAATTACAGATATAATTTATTGCTTGTGAGTGAATGTTTCGGAAAACTTTAAAGAAAGAAGAAATATAACAGGTAAAACCGGAACACCTGTTCCGTATCTGCGCCTGCAACAGTTGATGCAACAATTTCTTCTTCGATAATGGACGGTTCATTTTCAGCTTGTTGCACTGGAGTGGGATTCAACTGCTCTGCTAATGTAGCCATTAGTGCTTAATTTTGGCCTGGAAATTGCAATACTTACTTTTCCAACTGGCCAGTTCGATCATTGCAGCCAAGATAAGTTAAATGAATGACACTGCTACTGTTTTTGTTATGTTTCTTAAAAAATTTAAAAAAATCTAAAATGTGATAAGAAAATTATTACAGAAAAATGATGTAATAATCTTCTTGATACTTCGAAATATCTCAATATATATATATTTTTTTGGTACTTATAATTAAATCATTGAGATAAGTAAAATATAAATATTTCCAGTAGATGCAAGAAAAACGTGGCCAATTAAATAATAAGCTTTCTTAAGAAACTTTCGTCTTTTTCCCAGGTGAAAAGGTCAACAGGTAGGTCAAATAAGTAACACATCAATTTCATCACAACAGTACTCTGCCCAGAAGGATGGTTGCAAAAGGAGACGATGGATAATAAATGAAGCAAAGGACATGAATGGTTCATATTACTATTTATGTTCAGCGAGACTATGCTTTTTAAAAATGACAGCATTAAAATGAAATTATACCTATAAACACACCAGCTTGTATAGGTAATAAATTTAAAAATGTCAATGAATCTATTTATGCAATTTTTAAAAAAGAAAATTTTAATTCAATTTGATGCTTGCAAAATTATAATTTTATTTTATTTAAAGCATTGTAAAAATCTGGCGGTTTTCGCGGCATATTAAGGTAAAGAAGAATGCGATCCGATAACGGAAATATTGTAAATAGATGAAATGAATATATCAATTTTTAGAATAAAATTTATTTCTGAGAATGAGTGATAATTTATTTCTTCAATATCTTATTATTCAACGAAAAAATTTACTTTTTGGTATTAACTTGGTATCAAACAAAATATCTTAAAATATTACTGAAGTCAGGAATATTTGGAGGAGATTGAAAGCGAAATGTTAGATGACAGGTACTTTTTTTTTCCTTAAAAACATTTCATTTTACTTAAATGTTTTCCATGCAAACGGCAATCTGTGCATGCATTAATTTATCTATTGAACATTGTAAAAAATCATTGGTAAAGGTTGAAAGAAAGGTATGCCATTGTAAACTATTTAATTCTTAAAGCAAAAGCACTGATATTTATTGAGTTCCAATTCACGTCGATAGATGGCAACTTCAAAGTTCTATCCTTCAATCCAGCAATTATATTATTTTCTGATAACGATCAGTTGAACGATGCTGAGCTTTTGTCATTGGGAACTTCCAAAAATCACAAAAGCTATTATCATTTCATGTAAGTCCGAGAAATCCAAAAAAATCGCAATACATTACTCCTGGAAATTCTTAAATTACTTGAGGAAAAACATGTTGGCACAAGTTATTTCACTATTTTTGTATAACTTAGCTTGATTAAATAAACACTTAAAAATGAAAGAAAAAACAAGCACATCGTTATGCCTTTTTGCAAACACCATTGAAATCCCAAATAAGAGTTGAATTCAAATCATAAACATTGATTGTACAAATATTTTACTCATTGACTTTCAGGAATTTTCAGGAAATAAGCAGCCTAATTTAAACTCCATTCATTAAATTTTTTCAAATCTGGAATGTTTGCACTTTGCTTATACAATATAAATTAACATTAATTTCAACAACTTGCCCTACCAAAACAATTTTGGGGAATCAAAATGCTCGATTGATTATTATCCCCACAGCATTTGATAAAAATGTCAAAGAATCTTTATATTTTATATAAAATTGTCACTTTCAGCTATAAAAATGATTCATTTCTTTCACTCTCTTTGTCACATACAAATGCTTTATTGCAGATTACGAGAAAGTAAAAAGAAATAAAATGCAAAAAATAATACATAAAATAAAACTTTTGTCTCATTTAAATTGGTCAATTTCTATCCATTTATACTTTCACTTTCAGCCTTGTTCAATTCGTCCAGCACTTTTCTATAACTTTTAATATTTACCGAACCAGTTATATTCTTAAATATAATCTCGTCCTTCTCTTCTTTCTTTCTCATTATTATCTCTCGAAACCTTCAAAGTGATATATATGGATGAGAATTATAAGTTACTGAAATCAAACAATGATTTAGGCTTCAAACAAAATCATTTGATGTATTGATAATAATGATAACAATGTTTATATTATTTAGTTCTCATTAAATAAATAAGCAAGTACAGATGATAGTGATAATGACAGTGAAAGTGATATTTTTTTTTCCACAAAGGATACTAGCAAAAATGAAAATTGAAATAGACATTGTCTTATCAACTGTTTATATTGTCATCGTCATCAGTTGCTATCTCACGTGACCACGCGAACTACAAATGACCTCTTCTGTAAAAATTTCGCTGCAATAAATGAAAATTTTGAAGGTTTATATTTTGACACGAAAACTTTCCTTTTTGTTTGTTGATTTGTTGGTTTTGACGTGTAAGTGCGTAGTGTTGTCTTTCGCTTTCTCGTTTTCTCTCACTCTCGCTAGAGAGAGGGCAGAGGTCGAGGGTATGGTGGATGGGTGAGGAGAGGGTAGGTAGAGTTTTGGGTAAAGCAGCGGCGAGTTAAGACATCAGATGACGAGTAACCTAGAGCAGTGGTTAGCAAGTTGTTTTGAGTTCTGTGTTTGCAGTTGGTTGCCCTACCCGTCGATTTATCACATTATCGTAACGGCTGAGAATTTTGAATTAAGAAAGTTTGTAATTTTTTATTTGACTTGTAAGGATTTACAGAGTTTTGTGTTCAATAGCGAAAATACGTTTCGCTAGCTTTTTGATGACATTACTTAATGAGTTTCACAAGTTGTTTAAAGCTATCAAAAGTAAACATTCGCTTATCAGCTATAAAGTTTTGGTCAGTGATAAGTGCAATTTCTAAATTAGTCAGTATACTTTTTCGCTTTTTTTAAAATTTCGCTTAATTTAAACGTCTTTAGTTTGGTTTAGACAGCACTGGCTGTAAATCATTATCGATGCTTACTTAATATTGCGATATTATTCGTTGTTGAATGAGCAAATATCTGCTTAAGTGAAACTCAGCGTAATTCATTTTGGAAGGAGTGTATAAAAATTTTGATTAAAACATTAATGCAGAAGTTAACACTGATAAGTAATGGATTAAGTTTATATGCATATACATATCATCTTAATAGTGCTCTGGTAAAAAGTTTCTAACTCCTTACCATTTCGATCAAAATTTATGTAAGTAGAATAATATGGCATTCCTTTGCACATAATGAATGTACTGCTATAAAATTAGGATTCGCGATGTAATTTGCGCACATTAAATCTGTTTAAACTGGCAGAATGAATCGGAGTCTCTTGTTTTTCTAACTTGTAAAGCAGTTCTTTTCCTTTTTCTTTTCTCTGTGTATATTTTGGAAAAGAAGCGAAGAAAGCAGAGGTTATTATAACTTAAAGGATATCCGTTCAAGGGGCCTTAAAAGAGACATTGCTTTAAACTTCTCAAAAAAAAAAAAAAAAAAAAATCACATAGGTAAATAGTTACAAGAAAGAAAAGAAAGGAAGAACTGTGATTTCAGTAACGAATGATATGGCAACGCTTTCCTCAATACCAGCACCAGAGATGCGCCCGCATTCACCGTACAGACCACCGGGTGATAAATCTGCTTGGTCAACTAAAACCAATTTAGAGCGGTAAGCTCTTTGTGATTTTCCTCCGGGAATTGTGTATCCTTTCAGAGCAACTGTTAAAGATTTTTGGTTGATTAATAATTGAATCGGAAATGTGCAAAGTTGGAATTTTTTAAATTTCGTACTCTAATCTTGCTAGAAAAAAAAAAAACAAAAAAAAAAACCTATATATGGGATATATGTAGTTATTTAAATAGGAAGGATCAATTAAATAAAAAGAGTGTTTTGAAGTATAGTAAATGATAAATGGCTGTAATGAGTAACTTGATGTTTCTTGATTTGATAAAGTTACATTTCTTTTTCTTAGATTCATTTGGATTCTACAAACACCGTTTCGTACTCTTTTATGTTTATCGAATGTCACGGTTTTTTTTGTTACCTACTTTGGCTTTATGCTTCCAGTTCTTTGGGCTCGATCTTTATGGTGAGGATTTCCACGTTTCATTATTGTAATGAAATCTGCTTCAAAGTTACGCGGTTATACTTAAAGACTGGAAGAAAATCCGTTATAGTTTTGATCATTTTTTTCATTCTGGCAACTATTTAAAAAGGAATTGCTTACCAGTTTTTAATTTTTATAAGTATGTATGAAAATCATATTTAGGCCGAGACTGTATTGGTTTTATGAAGGAAAGCTTTATTCTTGGTTACAAGCGTTCATTGGCTATGCGGGCTATACTGCTGGATATGATGGTTGGTTTTTAACAATTCAAAGTCTTTCCTTCTTTTTAGTGTTTCATTTTCACAAATATTTCAAAATCTTCTAAAATATTTCCAGTGTATGAATACGGTGATGATGTTAGAAAGTTATGTGTTGATGAACGGATTATTCTTATGTGCAATCATCAGAGTACCGCAGATGTTCCTGTTCTGATGACCACCCTACAAAGCAAGGGAGTTGCCAGTAGAAAGGTACACTGTTAATATTTTTATTAAAATAAATCTTAATAGTCCTTTTTGTAGTTGTCCTTGTTGCAAGTTAGTTCTGAATCGGTGAACACAAAAACAGCACGTTTTTCAGACTTTATGGTTAATGGATGTGATGTTTCGATGGACACCATTCGGAATTATTGCTCAAATGCATGGTGATTATTTTATTAAACAAGGAAGAGCAACACGAGAAAAGGAGCTGATTCGTTTGAAGGATCACTTACGAAAAGTTTTTTGGGATCGTGATCGACGTTGGATTATTCTGTTCCCAGAAGGCGGTTTCTACTATAAAAGGATTCAGTCTAGTCAGAAGTAACCGGAAGTTTTTGTTAAAGTGGGACTGAGAGTTATGGGATTTTCTAAGAATGGTGTCCAACTTCAAAATGAGCTAATGGGAAAAGATAAGTGGATAAATGACAAATTCATAATAGTTTCGTATTTTCTTTTTCGGTCTTCGTTGATTATATTGAAACAAATTACCAAGATGTCGCTGCAAAAGAATAGCTTAAGCATGTAAATTGCATATTTGGTGATATTTAGATATGGTCGTGAAAATGGTTATCCGCACTTGGAACATGCAACATTACCTCGTTATGGTGCCATTAAAGCAGTTATGGAGGAAGTTGGTCCAAAAAAAGGTTACAATTATGCAGATGGTGTAACCGCGTCTGAAAACGGTAGCAAATTGCAGCTAATTCGGGATACAGTTGGAGCAATCCGAGAAAAAAAATACATCAAAGGTTTTTTTTCCCTGTTTGCATTCGACGAGAATAACGAACATTCTGTTTTTAATATAACGTAGTGGTAATTGGCCACGAATTTTTTTTCATTGGGCAAATGTGCTTTTTATTTCGACACTACTTGTCTCTTTTTCAAATTTAAGTTTTTTTTTCTTTGCGAACAAGGTGTAAATCCTTGAGTGTCTCTTACTAATTTAGATTAGAAAATAAGAATTTTCATTATCTTTTCCAAAGATTATGTTAGAGAAATGCCATTTGATAGAACATACTTATTGCACTGTATATGTTAGCTATCGAATAATCAGCGAAGCATTTTTTGGTACTCCGAATTGGGTTTTGTAAGTCTCAAAGAGTGTAGTCAAGGCGTTGATGTAATGTTCATGGAGGCGATCTATTTCTTCTTCTGTTGGATTTTTCTTTTTGATCACAGGTATGGGTGTCCCAATAACAGTGTCGATGGGTTTGCTAAAATGAGTTTGTTAGTGTTCTTGATGCAAATGTCTCTTAGAAATCTTAGATTAATTTTGCTTAGTACCAAAAACTTTAATTTTGGAAAGATTTCCTAGAAACTTTTAAAAATTAAATGCTCACTAAACTGAAGATAATATACAATATTCGGTACTACTAAAGAGAATCTAGGTCGCAATTTTGTGTGCTGCTATTTCATATTCAAGGAAGAAATTTCATGGATGGGTTTTTAATGAAATCAGAATTTTGTAAATTTAAACGGTTTAGACTTCACTCAGGACCAGACCTTATTTGATTTTGGCGAAAGGTCTCACAAGGTCTGATTGAGGCTTGCATCGAAAAAGAATTTTGAAACTTGCTTATAAGGAAGCGGCCCAAAATTGCTGAATAATCCACAGCCATGGTATATTGGCAAAGAGCATTTCATAATTTTCTTCAATTTACTTTGAAAACACCGTAAAGAAGACCCTTCAGGATTGTTTACCTAGAAATGGCCGTATTTTTTTTTTTTTTTCATATAAGCAAGCAGATCTTCATAAACTCATGATGTTTTCATGTGAATTTTTTAAAGTTGTTCCTCACCTGTTCGAAAAGTTCGTTTTCCCCAAAAGAGTACATTGGCACTAGTTGGGCACCCGTTTCTATTGCAATTTTTATGAAGCCTTTTCGTTTACTGAGTGTTAACATATGGCTACCGGGATGTGCATCCAGCGCTTCTTCTGCTCCTCCTGCAAATTTCTTTTATTGCACATACATTCATGCGTATTTCGTGTTCGAGTAAGAGTGAAATCTGTGTTATATCGATTGATATATCAAGGATTTCAGCTGTTACATATCAGTAACATGGCATACCTACGATAAGTACAACAATGTTGTTGATAGAGCTATTCAGCACATAATGTAAGCTCTCTTTACTGCAATCAATTAATCCATGTAGCATTGCCCATTCGCGACGTAGTGGTATCCAGAATTGCGATACCAATGTACACACTCGAACAGTCATTCCAGGAAGTTTTTCAAATAGTCCGGTACCGTTGGTTACGAAATTAGCATATGTATTCATCGAAATAATTCCATGTGGATGCGAGCCAATAAGGTAATTCTGAAATTGTTCAATTTCCAGTAAATCTTTCACCTTAGTCTGATCTAAATATTTTCTCAAAGGTTTTGTTCGCTTTTTATTTCTCATTTTCAAAAGTTAAAATTTACTTTTCCATGTGCCAAGGGAGTAGTTATGTGTAAATGAATTGGAAAATATCTCGCAAAATATTTGTGAATAGACTGAGTACGACACCATGTTGACGGGTAACCACCACATTTAGGAGATTTATGATCATAAATAAACCACGTTAAGTACAGTAGAATAATGGGCCACCATGGCGTTACGATCTGGAAAAAATAAACGGCGTGGTTAAGTGCATATAGATTGGTTAAGTGCATTAGTATGTGTTATATATTTTGACCATGAATCTTAATTAAATAATCTTACTGTTACTTTTCCAATGGTACGTTTATACTGGAAACACATCTGCATCTGTTAGGCTTCGCTAAGATTGGTTAAGTGCATATTTTTCTTATTTTAATGACAAGATGTATAAGACTTTGTAGTGCTAGTTTCCCAAATTCAGATTCATTTCCACTCACCAAATAAAGAATTAAAAGCGAAACGAGAAGGGGCATCAGAAATATGAGTGATAAATGATAGTACATTGCAATATTTTGCATACATTGTTCTGCTATATTATTTAACCATAGATTAAACGATGTCTTATCCATTGATACCGAATTCATGAATCTGTGTTAAAATAATTGGTAATTCCAAAGAACGGAATTTAATTGAGAACACTTGTCAGTCTTTACTTTCAAAAAATACAGAATTCGTCGTTTACTTCTATTTTTTCCCTATGCATCTATACATTTATTATCGGGTTTAACTATAAATAGAATTAGGGAAAGGCGCTCGGGTGAATTCATTTTAGAAAATAGTACTTTTTCACGTTTATCTGTGGATGAGTCTTAGATGAATTTTAATTGACAGGTTGGTTGAAGACAAGATTCATCTACATAATCTTTATATTTAGTTGTGACAGAAATGTCGATCTACTTTTTCTACTGGGACTTATTATGGAAAGTCAAAAAAAAAAATGTAAAACTGATAATCCCTGGCAATGAATTATGTATGTAGAAAAAGTTTTTAATAATTGTTCGATAAAATAATCCGAGTTAAACGCAAAATAATGAAAGAGTCCTAAATTCCAATTTTATTTGTCGAAAGACATTAATTGCCGCTCGAATTTTGGGATGTGTGCTTTCGCAGAGTCTCTGATGACGTGTCTTATTCTGTTTGACCAAAGATCAGGAAATGATGTGGAATTTGTAGAAAAGAGGGGGGGAGGGTCCGTACTTTATACCACTTTAATGGAGGTTGGGGCATGTAAAGAAGGTGCAAAAGAAAACTATTTTGAAATGTAATTTATAAACTAGCGCAAAACATTGATCAAGATTTGTATTTCTGCATGAGATTGAATACAGGAATACAATTTAATTGGTAAGTAGGGATTACAATGATTTATTAAAAATGAAATATGTTTCGACTTATAGGGAAACCAAAATTTAGACTATTTTTGGATTATTATCACAATGATTGGATAAGAGCAATAAGTATCGTAATATTCTAGGAAAATAATTTACAAAATAATATGATTTCAAAACAAAACCGTAGAGGTATGTTCATTTAAGCACGAGATCACTTCATATATCATTTGAATGTGATTTAATTTAGCAAATTTTTAGACGGAAAAAATTTTCGGTGGTAGTTTTTAGTTGGTGAAGAATTTTGATGCCTTATATTATAGGACCTTGTGTCAGATTTTGCAAGTAAAAGTGATTGGAATTGGAAGATAAAAGATATCTTTCTCTTCATTTCGTGGTGTTGTATTTATCATAATATGCAAAATTTTATATCGATCGAATTTTATATCGAGACATTTGCACAATGTCATCTGCCAAGTTAACAAGACGTCAGCTTGGAAATGGCTGGTGTTATGTCAAACGCACGTGGAATGAAACATTACTAAATACTTAGTAATATTTTCTTTTTAAGAGAAGGGTTTCGTCATGAGAGCGTGATCACATGTGGTTAGGAAATATTGTTGAAATTCTAAAGGTATTGGCCTGGACGAACTTTTGATGTTTACACTACTGAATGCAGTAAGCTATGGGAAGCAGTAGAAAAACAGCGTATCAGCAGACAGTTAGGCAGACGGAGGAATTGATGTTTGCTTTGTGTACAATTTTAATAGGGCTATAATTCAGTACTGTGTGCAAAGAATTTACTATTTCGTGAGGTTTTGTGGTTTCGTCTATTCCTATGTATTTGAACTAGGTTAAAAAAAAGAGCTTTAATACAATTAAATGTGTGAATTAAACTTTATGCGATTTAGGTTGCATAAATTTAGAAGAGTCTTGATTTCTTGATTCAGTGACTCAAAAGTTGCGAAGGACGTTGTTTTACCCTTAGAGGAAGATAGATAGCTTGGGAATAGCATCAAGAAAATTATAGTGAATTATGAAATTTGCTTCCTACAATGATGTGGAGGTTTTACAAGTTTTTAGGAGACTATATTTCATTATAAAATTCAGATGAAAAGATTTGGGAAGGCAAAAATAAATTGTTCCCATTGGCGAAAATATAAATTCAGTTTACCGCAAACTCGTTTCTTAAAGTATTTCTCCAATTTCAGAAATGCGACCTCCGATAAAATATGTATTGGATGTGACGATTGCATATCCACATAAAATGCCTCTTTCACTTTTCACACTGAGCTTTGGCACTCGTGAACCATGCGATATTGGTGTACATTATAAAATTTATGATGCTAGTGATGTAAGTATTGCCATTTCTTAATTATGACACCTTTTAGTGGAAATTGTCAAATTTATAAAATGAAAGGGCATCGATGAAAACGATCATCTTGCGAGACAATTGGTTATTTATGGTGGATCGGGTTAAAATGAGGATTTCTCCTTTGTTTAATCTAATCCTCTCTTTAGATGAGTGATTTTCCTTCATCATTACTGCTTTAAAGCAAAGGAATGTGCTTCTGAATTAATATTCCGTGATTTGAAAATTTTCCACTAGCCATAAGTTTTGACGTATGGAGATAAAATAGGCTTTAAAATTATCCTTTTCCTAATTTTCGTTTCAGTTTTGCAGCTGTTATTAGAGTTGAAAGTTAAATCAAGGTTTCAATTCCAGGTACCGTTTGAAGATGAAGAGAAGTTGCGTGATTGGTTATACAGCGTTTACCAATACAAGGATAATATTCTTGGTAGTTTTTCATACTTTTGTATATTTTTTAAACTGAATATACAGTGCCATAATATTTTTTCACGGAACAATGTATTATCATAGTAAACTCATGCTTCAAAACAATAATTATTTACAAAAAATGAAATTAGCTGAGAAAATATTCTGCAAGTTAAAAACTTAGAAGTTATATAATAATGGTGGTTATAACTGAGTATTCAAGTTCATTCACGCAGTTGTAAAATTTTTGAAAATTGAATTTCATCGTACAAGTTTTCAGACCGGTACTACAAAGAAGGCGTTTTTGTGCGTGACGAGAAAGGCAATAGGGTATATTTTCCATGGTGGAGAATTGTCGGACAGTATATTTTTTGGTTATCTTCATTTTATGTGCAATATCGAATTTATTCATTTATAGTACTTCATTTTCTACGAAGTATAGGTCTCATCTCGTGAAATAATTGGAATTTCTTATCTCTTGATAAATTTATTCGACATTGCACAAAGATGATATATACTTGTTTATTTTACTATTTGTGTCATTTGTATTCAGAAAAGTCAGTGTTGGCTTTAAATACAAGATGAGTTGAGCTTTTATTTTCCCAGGATCTCGAAATAGTTATTCGGCACGATTTTTAGATTGTTTGTATTTCGTGGTCAACTTTATCTCCTTATTTACAACAATCTCTTGAATGAGTGAACCATTCTCTTATTAATTTGATTTCTAATTTTTGAAATTTTTTAGGTTATTCATTTAATATTTCAAGTTAATTTCATTTTCATTTGCTTTAGGGTTTTCATACTTAATTTATTTGAGATAACTACTCTTTAAAAGCTAATAGTTTTAAATTTATATTCTTTTGCGAGTAGGTCTTAAAAAAAATTAAAAAAACATCGAGTTTGTTTATTTTGTCATGTGTACGATTGTGTATGGTTTCTTTCTAATGTTATTTGATAATTGTTGAATTGTTGCAATTAAGGCTAGTGTAAGCGTTGTGATTACATCTAATTACATCGTTGAATTATCAAATTGTAAAAGTTTGTTTTTATAAAAAAGTTTAAAATACATAAGATCAAGGAAAGTTAGAAGAACAGTATAAAAAAATAGGATGGAAACCAATTTCGTCTTATTTTAATAGAGAAACTCATCGAAGATTTTATTTCTCAAAATTTATGCATTATTAGATGTATGGTTTTTTAGACGTATCATATTACCAGAACTATTCCTAAAAAAACGGTGCTAGACACTTATATTATTTCATCTCTGCATTCTCAGTTGTTAATTTCATTATTGCAAATAAACGAAGTCATAATTAAGAAAGAATTAAGTTTGAATAGTATCCTAACTTTATTGAGAAGTAGTCAATTCTTTATTACTGAAAACAAAATTTCAATGAGGATTTCTTCCATTGTAGTTCTTAATGGGATTTATTCATTAAAATTATAAAGGTATTCAAGAAGGAATAGTTAGTATTGTTAGCTTTTCTTACTGGTAGTTATTGTTTAGAGAGCAAAAGAATTGAAATATGTGGAATAAATCGATTGAAGATTTTCTACTACTTAAGTGAAAAAAATGTAAAAGAGATGGTACGAATTGACTTAAAGACACCAAAGTAGGGACAGGAAAAATACTTTTCGTTGAGGACTTGTCGTAACGTTTATATAATGTTAATTTTTTTTCTCTTTGTAACATTTCTCATCTGAAATTTTTGAGGATTTTTTTTCGACAGGAAATGCCTATGACGTTAATCTTGTATGTAGGCATTTAACAAAAATGATTTAGCACTGAGACTTTTAAGATGATAAAGGATGCGGAAAAAGCTACTAATTTAAATGCCATTACTAGTTGTAAAAAAAGTCATTTTTAAATAAAAGTATCAATTTTTTTTAAATAGAAATATCAATTTTTTTTAAAGGTAAGTGTAAAGCGCATCAGTTGGTTGCAATGTCAACTTCATAGAAAAAAGAGATGGTATGAAAAAGCTCATTTATGAGAGTATTTTGGTTTATCATTAAGTCCCATAAGTTTATTCCAAGTCTTAAATCAGTACGCATTAAACTACCATAGATTTATTTATTGTATTGACTTTTGTGAAAATGAATTCTGTCTATGATAAACAGATATTACTTACAACTACTTAGAAGTTCCTTAAGGCAATCACGGAACATGTAAATTAAAACTATCTGCAATGCAAAACATACGAACTGAAACCATATTTAGAGGAATCCATCGTCATGAATCGTTAAATCTAATTGGTTACTTAATGTAACAAGTAGTCAGTTTGAAGGAAAATTGTTACGTGTTAAACACGTTTCAGCAATTCTTTTGAATTAACTGATGATCTTTGATTTATATTTCCTAGTGGATTTA